CATTAGCATGTTGAGGGCCGCGGAATTTGAGGTAGAATATTCCAGGTTCTTTAGTTCAGCATAATATATATTTTTCCGATAAAATTTACAGACGAATGTATGGTAAATGAAAAATACAATCGTACTAGTTCGCGCGTAAGTTAAATTGGTCTCCCCAATATCTATAAAGCTCTATCCTAGTTTGTAAACTAAGTTTGATAACCACCCTAAGGAAATCTCCATTCAACAAGCGAAAATCGATATGTAAAAACGAGCCAATGAGTAATTTAAAAAAAGTCAAAACTTTTATGAATTGACTTTAATCTTTCGTTGCATTTTTCAATCTCTGATCTTTTTGTCTAGCCTATAAAATTAGGTATGTCTATTTCTCCAATGAGCTATAAAGGCCTTATCATTTACCTTATTATTTTTTCAGTTCATACTTTTCCGTGACAATTTTATCTTTTATGAAAATCATTGACAGTCTATCAAAGGGGAAGTTAAACTTAAGCTTTGATAAAGTTACGGTAATAGGACCGTGTGACGTATTCGACCAATTAGAAATTATGAGTCAGGTTACCCTTGGACGGTATGACACGAAATCCTTTTACCAATGAATTGGGTCAATAACAGAAGCACACACTAATGTGATAAATGATGGAAGCACAAGTTTCTTATAACATCTATCTGTAGCTCGATTTGTCGTATTATGAGACTTGAGTAACAGCATTGTTGTTGCTGTTGTTGCTGTGTTTTTTATGGAGATTGTTCTACAGGATGTAAAATGTCTAAGAAAAAATTGATTCATTTTTGTTGAGTCTTTTTTTACAGACCGAATCTGGGGTACTTGCTCTCTAAGTTATTTTAATTTGGACTGGTTAACATGGACTAAGTAGGTTTAAAAATCGTATTGTCTAAGCAACATTTGGTTGTTTAATTTTCACTTGGCTTTGCGACTGACTGTTTTGAAGCACCATCTAATTGGACTGCTATGGATAGCAGCTAACAACAAATAAGAGATATTGAAAAACAAGACTGACTCAAGCATTTATATTTGATGCCAATAAAAGAATAATAGGCTTGAAGCCTTACCAATGCTAATGTACCCATATTTAACACGAGGAAAGAATGGAATTCACCATTTCCATTTACACATAGACCATAATGCACCTTGTGTCCTCCCCCAAGAAAACCAAACAAACAAAAAAACCAAACTTTGTCTGACCATTGTTTTCGATTTCTCCTGGGACGACTGTAATACCCAGGAGAATTAGAAACAATAGCGTGCAAAATTCTGGGGGGTAAACAAGGTGCGTGAAAGTATAAATACATTAAGCGAAGTGTTGTCTTTTTTCATGGAAAATAAGGTGGCAAACGGTGCATGATACTGTATAGCCCAGTTTAACGGGAAAGGTTTTTTTTTTCTTTTTTAAAAAATCCAGTATCTATAAGCTGAAAGATAATAACGTGTAACTAAAATTGATCCCATTTTCTACGTTTATGACGAAAGCGTTGTAATAAAACAATTCAGAAAAAAGTCACAGTTAGTGTTGATTCCCAGTATAGCGTAATTTTTCTGTGCGTACGTGCGTAAAATTTACGTTCGCAAATAAAATAGAGGCAATGCATGAAAGGTCGCTC